AGCAGTTTTTGAAGAAAAAGCTCCAGCAAATAAAATTTCTCTGAAATAATCAATACTAAATGGGGGGCCCCAAATTTCAACACTCTCAATCCTGCTACATCTCCAGTAAGTCCAGGAATCCCTACATTTTTACTGACTGGCATCTGGTTTGCCTGCCTTTTAGAGTCCTCTAATGTTTTGAGTAGATCCTTCTACCCAGTGACATCGAAACTTTTTACAAAATTCAGTAAGTTATTTCAGATCACAGAAGTAAAATGGAAAATAGTTATTTCCATTTTATAGTTGAAAGAGAATAGAGATTAGCAGATTAAGATCAGCAAAGTTGAATGAAAAGGAATCTCTAGCTGGGCACCCAAAACTAGAGGCTCCCAAATTTGATGTCATGTATGCACATTTTATTTCTCACAGTAAGAAATCTCTCAGCTGCAAATATTACAGAAAACTACGGGATATGATCAGCCTTACTTCTCTTAAAGACTCATATTTAGAAAAAAAATAATTAACATATACTGTTCTGCTATTGCAGTCTGGTAAAGTTGTTCAGACTTCACAGGTTTTTCTGGTATAGGGTCACTGGGGGACTTGGACTGTAGTGAATCAAAGCCAACCTACACCTGCTGAAGATTTGCCCATGTAGTGGAAAGGGGCCAAGAAAATTATGCAAATCCATTAGTCTAATTTGTCTTGAGGTTTTGCTCAGACCTCTGTGGGTTTTCATACACTTTATTTTTAAATGCTGATTTACTGTCATTTAAGGAAGCAATATGCTGCCTTGACAAGACCGGTCACTTTAACTATCTGACATTTTCCCTGCAGACATCTTCTTGCCCTAGTGTGCAGGTTTCTGTGTAGGTGATGGCTATATAGAAGACAGCCCTGATGTTCCAATATCTTGTGAACTCTATGATCCAAAAGTAATGTACTTAATCAAGTGTAAAGCAAGAGGTGATTAAGTTTTGCAGTACTGTACAATGCCTGACTGCTCAGAAATGCACCTTTTGATGTGGTGCAGAGAATTGGACCCGTTCTGTCTGCTTTAGCAAAAAATGACATTTTAGTAATCTGAAAAGAGAGCCTCAGAAATCCCCACAAGTGTTTAACTTTGATCTGAAGCTTTAAAAAGATGCTATTTATCTGTTTGCTTCTTTAATTTGTTTAAATTTTAAGCTCAGGAAGGTGTCAACTCGACATCTTGAGGAAGCAATTCTTTGCTTTTTTTCTAGATGAGGTTGAGCAGGGGCAGCAAGTTTCCAATCATCACTAGCTGTTGTAAGCATCCAACCAAAAAAAAAAAGAGAAAGGAAAAAAATAAAACCATCAACTCACCTTTTCATTGTGGTTTATATGAATTATTAAGAACTGAGATTCAGTGGACCCTCAATACTGGAGCATAGAATCAATACTATATTTTATATAACAAGGGCAGTAAACCCGGCTTGTTCTACTTCCATCGCAGTGAAGCCTTGTCAAGTCTCTCAGGCAACCTAATTCACTAGGGCCAAAGTTTAACACTACTGACGTGAAAGGTGGATTGAGGTGGATTGGAAACTGGCTGAACGGCTGGGCCTGGAGGGTGGTGATCAGCAGCACAAAGTCTAGTTGGAGGCCAGAAACTATCAGTGTACCCTAAGGGTCAACAGTGGGGTCCAGGCCTGTTTAACACCTTCATTAATGGTCTGGGTGACGAGGCAGAGGGTACCCTCAGCAAGTTTGTAGATGACACAAAACTGGGAGGAGAGGCTGATATGCCAGAGGGTCGAGCTGCCATCCAGAGGGACCACGACAGGCTGGAGAAAGGGCTGGCAGGAACCTCCTGAAGTTCAACAAGTCTGAAATCCTGCACCTGGGGAAGAACAGCCCCATGCAGGAACAGGAAAGCAGCTTGGCAGAAAAGGACCTCCAGAGGTCCCTTCCAGCGGCAGCCATTCCGTGATGCTGTCCCTCTGTGAAAGACGTGGTCAGTGCAGTGGAGATGGGACCTTCTGCTGGGAGCTCAGGGAATTCAGCTCACTTTCCTGTGCTGTAAGAACTATTGGTGGCCACTGCTAAAGGACAACTTTTACTATGTCCTGGACATGAAAGAGAGAGAATAGATCTGCACTGAGCTCAACGAGACGCAATTATTGCATCTTGAGCGAGGGTGCTAAAAAAGGGCCAGTCTTGATGGGACACAGGCCTGCAAGGAACTGACATCAGCAATGTCGCTTCCAAAAGAGAATAATAAGGCAGATCGGTGTCGGTCTGTATGCAAAAGGTGAAAGGCTCCTTGTCGTATTACCTGTAGCCAAACTGCCTGATTGCATTTTCATACAGCATTCGCAATCATAAAAACCAAATACCAACTTCCTCACACATATACAAGCCACCCCAAAAGCGCTAGCTGCACACATTCTGCACTGCGCTGAGCAGTAGTCATCATGCGGGCACATGCTGCATGCCAGCAAAGAAAGCTCATACGGTCACCAAAAGGGGAAGGTCTGGAGTAAGCTTACAGAGAAATGAGAAGAAGTGCAGTGGATTCCAAAGTATTTCCTTTTTGCCCTGCTTGGTAAATGGAATACTGAATGTGAGCGACAATGGAGAGGGAAGAAGGAAGATAATAAATACTGTTTGCTATTTGAGGTTTTAAGTTGTTCTTTGAAAATGGAAACCAAACTTGACTGAGCTGGGTTATATATTATATTTAGGAATACCTAGAGCTTGACTGCAGAAATGTTATACATCCTACAGTATTTGCAACTCAAGTGGAGAAGATGTAACCTAAGAAACTGAGGAATGACCACACAAAATTTATAAATAATGGTCTAAGTCCCTCACTGGGGTAATTATATGTCACTTAAGTGAAAATCAATTTCAATCTGCACCTGTTGGAAGTTTACTCCAATGTTTCACACTAGGAAAGGAAAAAGGGAATTTAAAGATTCACGGGTTAGAAACTGAACTGTGGGTTAAAAGTAAAGAGTAAGATACTGCCTTTCTAAATAAATTTGCTATGATTCAAAAGACACTCCCAAGGAACACTCAGAGTGTGTTCTTGGCACACCAAACCTTCATCCTTTAAGTGTTCCAGGCCAAAGTTAAGAAGACAGATTATCATCCACACAACAGCACAAATGCCAAACAACACCTCCTTCAAATGAGAGGATGAAACAAATCACGCTCGGAACAATTTTTTACTGCAAGAGAGAGAAAGAGCCTGGCTTTTCCCCAGGAATCTCTTCAATGTGCCAGTCCTAGTATCCAAAACTCACCTCACCCCATGCAGCTGAAAGAAATAATTCCATATTGTTAGTCTCTTCCCATTCTCCTTCTTCATCACTCAATCTGTCCAACCAAACCATTTCTATTTATGCTCTTTTCCATTTTTCCAAATTCTAGAAGAGAGGCATGACTCAAGACTGTTTTTTTCATAAATCTTTTAGCCCCACTCATACTATCTCACAAACTGAGAAATACTTATCTAAAGTGAAAACTTCTGGCCAAAAGGGACCTTTACTAGTCTGAAGCCTGATCACCACCATAAAATGGATCATATAAACCTACTCTGAAATCCCTGCAGGAAAAACTTTTCTACTGGTTGAGCTAGAGTCTATCTAGCTAAAGTAATCTCATCTTAAAGACCTTAAATGCTGGTCTGCTATATTCTGCTCCATAGAACATTTTTGTTATCCAGTTACTGCTTCAGAAACACGTACATGGTGAATGTAAATATAAGCTGGGCTCCCGCACCCCTGAGCAGCTACATTTTCCTAAAATGCTTTTGTGCCCTTTAGGATCTCATGACAAATCCTCAAATCTGTACAACATATTCCAGAAAAATTTCTAAAAGATGCCTGCTTTGCAAAATAAAATTCCAGGAACTACTGGAAGTATTCAGGTTATTCAGAGAAACAGAGAGCTGATGCAAACGATTTAGAAACTGTCTTATTTACTATTCTAAATTAATTCAGTAGCAAAAGTTGCTATATAATTGCATTTAGTGTTAAATGTGATCCTCAGCACTGATTCAAATTCCATTTTCAAATTCCATTTTCAGCACAGGAAAGACATGGACCTGTTGGAGCAAGTCCAGAGGAGGGCCACAAAGATGGTCAGAGGGCTGGAGCACATCTCCTATGAGGACAGGCTGAGGGAAGCAGGGTTGTTCAGCCTAGAGAAGAGCAGGCTCTGGGGAGACCTTATAGCAGCCTTCCAGTACCTGAAGGGAGCTACAGGAGAGATGGGGAGGGACTCTTGATCAGGGGGTGGAGGGATAGGATGAGGGGTAATGGTTTTCAGCTGAAAGAGGGGAGATCTAGATTAGACATAAGGAAGAATTTTTTTATGATGAGGGTCATGAGGCACTGGCCTAGGTTGCCCAGGGAAGCTGTGGATGCCCCATCCCTGGAGGGGTTCAAGGCCAGGCTGGATGAGGCTTTGGGCAACCTGGGCTGGTGGGAGGTGTCCCTGCCCATGGCAGGGGGTTGGAACTTGATGATCTTTAAGGTCCCTTCCAACCCCAACCATTCTATGGTTCTATGATTGTATGATTCTAATTTATCATGTCACTGACTCACAGTTTAGACTGGTGTCTGGTGAGATTTGGGCCCTAACATAATATGTCCTGTTCACAAGAAATTTAATGAGCGCTAGAAACTCTACACACTTGATGGAGGGATCATATTCCTCTTTCATGCGCTGTGTTTGGTTGGTAGGAAAGTGTCTAAAAATTACATTACATTTTTGCTGACGCTTTCTTCTTTAGCTGCTTTAGCAGACTTCGCAATATCCTACCTGATAAAATTTACTTTGGCCAATATTAATCAGTCAGCTTGATGTCCTAACATTTACTTTTCTCTTTTGTTGTTTGCAATGCCTCTTGGAACTGGGACAAATATCAGACATGCGCTCATGTGAAGTCTGTGGTATGTACTATATAAATGAGACCCCAGTTCTAGCTACCATCTGAACAGTATTCTTAGACCTTTATTTCTGAAAGGGATCGGTTTTTCTCAGGTGCCATGAAGGCACTAGTAGCTTTAATATTGCTTGTTCAGCTTCCAATTCACAAAGCTGTACCAGCCGCTCCTGCAGCTCCCCCTGCTCCCTTGGGCTGCGATGACCCAGAATCTGAAGCAGCAGCTGAAGTAGCTCTGAGTTATATTAATGGCCACAGTCACCACGGATACAAGTTTGCCTTAAACAGAATCGAGAATATCCGCGTGCTACCCCAGGTAAGTGAGGGGCTTGCAGGCAGAGCGTTGTGATTAACCTGCAGATGCTTGGAAACGACCAGCCAGCCCTGCCAAGGGCTGTATCCTCACACGGGTACATCAGCATGGCTCTGTTGATTTAAATGGGGCAATGCCACCTGGTAGCAGTTGAGAATCCAGGCCACTGCACTGTATCTCTCAAAGAGCAGAAAAGAGGGGGACAGAGAATGCTCAGATGTTTTAGTACAATGCTGGAAAGGGCTCAGTTTACCAGTGCAGCATGCTTGCTAAGGCAGATCATATAAACTGCTGATGCATGAGCCCAGTAGGTAATCTGGAGAAAAACTGTGAGGACAATCTTCATGATGCAGGTAATTATTATTGGCTAAATGCATACCTATCATAACTCCATGCTATTAGTGATTTTGTAGTAGGCATTGATTTTACCTAATATCCTATTGAGATGACAAGGAAGCTGAATGGAAATAACTGTGGTTTGTAGTCTCATTTTCACTAAGACCTATTGCCATCATTGCAGGCATCTAGAAGGGCTGTAGAAATGATCATGAATACAATGTATGCACCCATTCAGAACCCTTGATTCTCTCCAAAACATTGAAAATGGTCCCAAATATTAACAAGAATGAAACTCCATGGCTGTTTTCTACTTGGTGTGAGAGAGAGGATAAAAGCAATTCACAAGAGACTAAACCAGACATTAATGAGATTAGAAGTGTGCCCACAGTTACCTACACAAAAACACTGGTAACACGCATTTGCTCATATTTAATACTTTTGCACTAAAATAATTTCATGAGTCTGAGTGGAATCACTTGTGACTCAAACCTCAGAGTCAATCTTGGAGCTAGGGAACCTCACTTCTCCCCTTCCACTCACATCTCTTGTCTTGTAGTTGCAAAGGTTTGGGAACAACCCTAAAAGATCCTGCAGTCCATAAACAACATGAGTATTGGGACTGGAACTTAGCTAGTGCAATTCAGTGTAATTCCAATGGGCTAAATGGGACAGGCCAAGGTGCACCAGTGTTTGTTTCGTATCTGGTTACAGAAACCTAAAGTTTTTTTCATCAACAAAGCCAGCTGTTGATTTTTTTAAAGCTACCCAACAAAATTAAATCAAGTTAGCTCAAGAGAACTGACCCACTCTAGGCAGGCTGGACTTTCCAAAACCTATGGGCCAGTTCCTTAGCTGGAAAAAGTCAGTGTGGTTGTTTTGACTTACTCCAGCTAAAAAACTGTGTCCTGTTTTATATGGTTAAATAGTAAGGAGCTGTTCAGCTATGCTAGTGTATACCTGGAGCTACCAACAGAGACCACAGTGCATCCCCAGAGAAGGAATCTGGTGATGTTTTATGAAGTAATTACTACAACTCCTGTTTGCTTTCTTGTTTTTTGTTTGTTTGTTTGTTTGTTTGTTTGTTTTTTCTTCCAGGGGCTGAATAATGCTTTAATATTTCTTGAACTTGACTTATTAGAGACCACGTGCCACATTCTCAGCCCTACACCTCTTGCAAATTGCACAGTAAGAAGCTTCACACAGCATGTAAGTATCTAAAACACTCAGTCCAAAGGTGCGTGTTCAGTACGTTGACGCTGGAGGCCAGGCTACCAGCAGTCAGATTTCCCATCAAATGTTATAAATATATATCACTGTAACAGCCTATAACCACCCAATCACTTATAACCTCCTTGTTGATTTAATTGCCTTCATGTCATGAAGGATTCCACTCCTGGATTTCTTCCATGTCTTGTTATGAGAAGAGGACAGGCCACTGTCGGCGTAATGTCCCATGTACAGTTCATGAATGCCATGGGGCCTCGTTTGGGGGCTCCAGACTCAGCCCTCCAAGGTCAGCCCAGATGTCACAGCCTCACTGCAAACTGTAGACAGGGCAGGTTGTGAATCTGTGCAAACACAACCTTCCCTTCACTCCATGTGGAGTGTTAACTACTGAAATTCAAATCTAGCCACCTAGTCCTCGTCAAGATTGCAGAAGAGCTATTCCCTTCAGGCAGGGCTCTGCCTTCAAAGTAATGCTCAGCTGGAGTTTACTGGCCTCAAATATTTTGGTCTTATGCAAGCGTGATCCAGCTGTGAAAAGCTTTTCCTAACCAAAGCAGTGGAAGTGCTGTCTAAGTACAGGCAGCTCTGGTTTCTAAGCAAAAAGCAGAGTGAGCAACTGACAATTTAAGCCTGCTGTTTCTAGAATGGGGCCCAATTCACAGAGCTCACGACTAAATTTGAATCATCATCCACCCCTGTATTCACCAGGGCTCAGATCCCATTTTCCATCTTGGGGGAGGTGGCTTTTAACTCTTCCCTCTTCCCAGTGACCTCAGCTTTGCCTTTGCCACCTCCTCCCGTGCTGGATCATGCTGCACGCGAGCCAGCTCACTGCTGTTACCATGGCCACTGACCAGCCCAGATCAGGGAGAATGTTATCAAACAGCTCTGCAGAAGGTCTTGATTCAGAAGTATTCATATTCTTTGCTCTTGATGAGAGAGGAACCTGAACCGAATGTCCATAATCTGTCTACCCTGGCACTTCTGATATTTTTGAGATCCAGATTTGGATCCAGATTCTGCAGCTCTGGTCTGCCTTTTACTAAATCACAGACACCAGGACATGCCTAGTGGTGCCTTTGCAGTCAGACTGATCTTGCCAGGAACACTCAGCCAGGATCTGTTCTTTTGAATTTAGTAATAGTTACCCTTTCCAGAAATTCCCATTTATCTGAACAATCTAACCCTTTGATTTTTGTCTCTCTCTAGGCAGTTGAGGGTGATTGTGATGTGAAACTGCAGAAGCTGGATGGAAAGCTCTCTGTACTTGCTAGTAAATGCCACTCACATGCAGGTAAAGACTTTGTTCTTTAAGTATGAATCTAGAGGCTGGAGTATTATTATAGCAGTGGTTACAGTTCACTAGCTTTTCTGATTCTAAAAGGCTGTGTATAAACATGGCATAAAGGATGGCAGTTAATGGGTTTTCTAAACCCAGCTGTTTTGAAAGTAATTTTTCCCCTTTTCTGATTTCATTCAGCTACAAAGCCAGCCCTCTCTCTTTGCTCCTCTTTACTATGACAATTCAGACTGGAGCAAGCCCCAGATTTGACTTAGAGATTGCAGGTGCTGAGGCTTTTCACCCAGAAGTTTAGCCTCAAGAATTTGATTCCTTGTTGGTTTGAATTTACTAGAGCTTGCTGATGTTCAAGGCCCCTCTGCCAGATGCAGCTTATTTACTAAACCCAGCATTTTCAGTATGGCCATGGGAAAGCAGAATTTCTGTTCTGCATGCTCTGTACAAGATCTCTTTGCTCTGTACGAGATGTCTTCAGAACTACTTTCAAAACCAGTGAGTGAATGAAGCAACACACACCAACACAATTCCAATAAATTAAAATATCTTCATTTTTCCACCATTCCTTGTGTGAGCTGAGACATCTTTTCATTGGTGCCATGGATAGTTTGCTAGAAAGAAAATTGATTAAAACCTGAGTAAGAACATTCAAAATGTGCTATTGAAGTCCACAGCACTTTTGCTTGCAGACACTCGAATGGCAAAACTCATGTGAAATGCTGCCATCTGTAGTCTGTACCGCAAAAACTCCTACTATGATTTGGGGGAGAATATGAAACAGCTTTTTGTGTGACTGAATAGGTCTATAATGCCTTTCGAAACAACTTACAATCTGATCAAAACCTAATGTTTGATTCCTCCTGCAGACTCCAGCGAAGATATTCTCCAAGTCTGCCCTGACTGTCCTCTGCTGGCAAGTCTGAATAACACCGAGGTGGTAACAGCTGTCACAGCTGCACTCAACGACCACAACAGCAAAACTCCTGATGCTTACCTCAGACTCCTCGAGATCGGAAGTGCCAAAATACAGGTAACTGCTGGAACTATGTCTAGCCTTCCATGCAAACAGGATATTTCTCCTGTGGTTATTGTGAAGTGCTAACTAGTTACATCTGCAAACAGATCTAGCTGGCTCTAATTTGCCCTACCAAATTGCTCTTGATTTCCCAAGCTTTTTGTGTCATTTTAGCCACAGGATTCCCTTTGACTTCAGTGGGAGATGCAGAGCTAGAAGCCACAACATTTGCCTTTTATCTTTTCTCAGCAGCTCTGCAGTTTCACAGAGCAAAGTCAGTTAAACAATTTTCCTGTTTTATCAGTATCACCCAGTGCACGTTGTCTCCGTTGAGTTTGCTGTGGCTGCCACGAACTGCTCAGCAAAAGAAGCTAAAGATAACGTGGAGGCTTGTCAACTGCTGCCTGACGATCAGTCTGTAAGTATGCCAGCACATCAGTCCTGCTCTCGCCAGCTCAGAGGTATGCTGTGATGTGCTCGCACTTGTGCAGGAATAGACCTTTGTGAGGATGAAAGTGCAAGAGCTGTACACCATCATGATACACTTTTCAATATACAGTTCCTAAAGCTATATCACATCTTCTCTTCTCTCTGAGGTATCTGGATTGAGTCCTGATGTATTTGAATATATTTCAAAAAGGCTTGAGGGCAAAAGTGTCCTTAAAACGGTTTTAATCAGTAGAATACAGATTACCATTTACTCTTCTTAACAAGAGCACCTGAGAAAATCAGGCTCCTTTGTACTGGACTGGACACAAACACATACCAAAACAGCCGACTGTTTCACCTTCCTATGATTTAAGTGCTGTGAGTGTGCTTTGTTTTGATACGTAGGCTCTGGAGAACTCTACTGTATACTTTATCATGCTAAAATTCTTCTTTTGTTTCTGATGGAATGGAGTCCTAGGCGGGTTTAGTGGGTGGGAACCTTCTACCTAGATTCCTATATATTCTTTCTCTCGCTCATATCCAGACATACAAAGGTTGTTGCTCTAGAGTACAGGAGTTTCACTTATTTGCTCATTATGCATTTAAACAGCTTGGCTTTTGAGTCCAACAGACTAAAAAGGAAGAACTCTACTGCTCAGATAAAACATGAGAGGATGTAGCTATTTCTAAATGGACTGAAATTAAAATTTGTAATGCAGATCTCCTCTATCATATAACTATTTTCTCTTGACCGTGTTCTGCTTTGCCAGAATTTTGGTTTCTGCACAGCAACAATGGTAACACGCCCCTCCCAGGACCTCAGCGTGGACTGTCAGCTCTACGGACATCAGGTACCAACTCCACAGAGTACCCTAGCCTGCTACTACTGTTAGAAGCAATCACCCTGAGTTTCTCTCTTTCACTGTAGACTGCATTAGTGACCTGTGATAACTTGAATTTAACTTTGTATCCTAAAAACCAGCCAGATCCCTAGCTAGAGGGACAGCTAGATGTAAAACCTAAATGAGCCATTGTGGTAGATGAAATCAACTGGGTTTTTTTGCTAGAACTCCTTAGACCTGACTGAATTCGGGGACCCTGACCTGCACTGCTATAGCAAGAGGAGGGAAGTCTATATGCACTGGACCTGAGTGCTCTCCAGGCATGTTAGTCTTCATTTGGTCTGAGAAGGGCCAGGTGGTGGTTGAATACTTCCTACGTACCAAAGCTCTTGGTAACATGATAGTAACTATCTGACTAGGAGGTGTATGAAAGAAAAACAGTTGGGCTTGAATGTTTCACCAGCTGTATAGGTGGCCCTGAAAGCCCACCTAGCACAGAATCTGGTGCTAATGATCCACTGGACTTTAAAAATGTGTTCCTGGCCTCCTATATCTGTGTTCAAATGCCAATCAAACTTTTTTGTGATGGTCAGGAACATTTTATACCTGGGTTGGAGGCCTATATATAGTCAGGAGCAGGGTACCTAGGAAGACATCAGTGACCTGTATATTATAAACCCCAAGACACTGAACACACACACACACACACACAAACTGTTTTTCTTTTCCAGCCTGGAGTTACCTACACTCAACCAGGTCAAGATACATCAGCAGGGCTGGTGCCCAGCGTGGTACAAGGCCTCACAAACCATAATCTCAAGCTTTCCCACAATAACCCATTCGCATCTGAATCCGCTTCTTCAGAATTTCCTTCTTCCGTGCTGTTATCAAAATCTGTAGCAAAGAGAGCAGTTGCAGAGGTTGCTCAGCATGACAAAGTACCTCGTCCAGTTGGCTTTGTGCCTCCTCCTCCTCCATGCCCTGGGAAGATTCGCCATTTCAAGATATAGGCTGTATTGCAGACATGGCAACACAGCTACTGAAGGATCAGTGTGCAGCAGCAGCATCAACACACAGACCACAACCTCAAGAGCAAATAGGTGAGAATGCTTAACTCTGAGCTCAGCTGAGTTTTACCCTCCAGACAGTAGAGCTGTGGCCAGGATCTTGCAAAGGCCTGCTTCAAAATATAGGTGATTACAACAGGGAGCATTTGTTTTCTCTGCATACAGGGATGCTCTAGTTAAAATACAGAAAATATTGCTTCAATTAAACTGTTGTAAAAGCTATACAACAGTTGTAGCTTTGTGATAGAAACACCACCTGAAAAGTTACTTCACAATAAAATGTTCAACAGAAATGCTTTGGTACCTTCTATCTGTATATATTTTCATTTAGTTGTCAAGTATCCCCTTCACAGCATTATGAGTCATATTCTGGGCTTGATTTCAAAAACAGTAAGCTCCTGCACTTCTCATCAGCTTCACTGGGATGTGTGGGTGCTGAGCACTGCGGAAAATCAGGTCAGTCCTTTCTTTTGATCACACACCAATAACACTAAAGAAGTGTCAGGAAAAAAATGTACTTTTCCCTTCCACCTGTAGTGTTTCCTAGCATGCACCTACTTCTAATATTCACCAGAAGTAACTTAATACTTTTGGACATGGGATAAGGAATATAATAAGAGGATCCATGCCTATGAAAAGAACAAAGAATCAGGACACATTCATTGCTGCCCAGGCTGAAAGCATCTATCCATCCCCCCAAACACGTGTGTGTTCTCTGTCTTCCAGCAGATGCACAGGTGCCATATTATCACGGGCACTGTATGGCCTGTGTGCATACGAGGGAACACTAGTTCAAGGGAATATAAATATACCACAGACCTGTATCTCATGTCATAGGACCCAGACAGTGATGGCAATTTACCGTTGTCCTAGCAGTCAAATCTTCCTCGAATTTCTGACATTTGTTAGAGGGAAAGTCTGTTCTAGGTAGAGAAGTAATAAGGGACAGGGGCCAGAAGGATCGTCACTGCCAGCCAGACTGGAATTCTGCAGGCCCGGGGGAACCGTCTCAAAGACAGTCATGAATCTTTAACCAGGAACAGTACTTGCTACAAGATAATTATCATGCAGGCAGCAAAAGCTGCAGAACACATGTCATTTCTGAACTGTTTCAAATAACCTATCCTGTTCTCTCCATTACAACCTTCCAGTACTCAGTAAGCAACACAACTAACACTTGTTCTTGGTGACAGTGCAACAGGTTGCTATACAGAAAGGTTCTGCTCTGCGGTGTCAATAGGGAAAGGAAAAGCTGTTTGCACTTGCACCAGTGCTTCTGGGAGGTGTGTGGAGGTGAAAGGAAAAGCTAAATCAGCCCAGGCTCTATGAGCCACAGTATAACGTGATGGCAACACACTGCCGACAAGCCCTTGCCACGAAGGCAGCAGCACTCACCTGTCAGGAACAAGCTGAGTTCTTGCAGGAAGTGTTCTCCAGGCGATTGCACAAGCTGCTGTCAGTCAATTGCTCAGCAATTTTTTGCTCCTCTGTGAAGCAGTGACTCCGGTATGTTCTGCATGCAGCCGTTCATTTATAAAGTGCTAGTATTAAGCTCTATACATTTCTTGAAGTGGGAGGGTCAGTGGTCCTCCCATCCCACTGCACCAGACACAGCACAGGATTTAATGAAATGGCTTCTCTTATGATCTGCATTACTAAAACATCAGACACATGAGACTGACTGAGTTTTTAATTTGCCTTGAACAATTAGTTTTCGCATTTCTAAAACTAGGAATCACCTTAACTAAACCATACAAATTGTCTTGTATATAATGAAGTTGGCACTAAGTTATGGAAGAGACAGTGTTTTCCAGGCTTAGAAAATTCTCTATCTGATGGCAGAAGCAGTGTGTTTATAAAAGGGATCTCTGCCCATGAAGATCTCTGAACTCCAGAAATGCAGCATTTTCTTGTTGCTTTTTCCAACCACAGAAAGCAAGGATATGTAGCAGAACATCTGCAGCCTCCACACTTCACAGATGCCCTCCTACACCTGGCTTAACTACTCCATTGGTTCCTAAAACAGAGAAAAAAACCCAGAATTGCTCTGTGCTCTCCTGTGATTCCAGTTAGTCGCTGCACCTCATCTTCTTTCTCCTTAACACCTGCCCACTTACAGACACATTTTACCCTCTTCAGGCTACATTTTCCATGACTGCTTTGAAGCAATCACTTTGTATCCCCACAGTATGGCCCCACATACAAGCACCTGGACCTTAGTAACAGATTCAGTATTTAGCAATAGATTCTCTGAGCAATGAGTGCTATGAAATGGCAATACATAAAGCACAAATGCCTCCTTCCCTGAGATGCAGCATGAGTAGTTTTGCTGGGTCTGTATCACTGGCTGACAATATTTCTCAGCTTTCTCAAACCCTGTTTTGCTAAAGCATATGTACTTCATGTGCTGCTTTGGCTGGACATGCTCAGATTTCCCAGCTGTGTTCATGTTTTGAGGTCAGCTACTTCAACAGAGAAATTTTTTCCTTTCCAGTGGGAGGAAGAGTACAAAGAACAGAGTCAGGGATATAACAATTCCCTATTATGAGAGGCACCGACACAGCCAGTACTAACTGGCACCCATCTCCATAGAAATGCCATGTACTGTAAGGATGAAGAAAATGGGTTATTATCCTTTAGCCACAGGGGAAGCATTCCCAGGCACAAGGAGCAATGTGAGCGAGCCTGCATTGCTGCTTCTGCTGTTCCTGTACTATGGCTACAGCAGTGTTTCCAAACATTCACCCCTTGAACCACGTCCCTCCAGGATACAGTCTGTACATTATCCCTCACCCTGAGTTTGCAAAGCAACTGGGGGCACATGAGGTGGCTCTGTTTCCCAGCCATGTGCCCCTTCTGTCCTTCTATCTGAGTTTTCCACCTCTGCCACCAACCAAAGTCTTCTAAGAGTTTCAGCCCCAGTGCTGCTGCAGGACTTCTGGCTGCGTGTATCATTCCACCTGGCTTTCTACGGACGTTCCCTGGGACAGGTTCTGCTGTCTCCCAGAGGAACATGTTTTGAGCACTGCTGGGCTAAATACCTGAGACTCTTTATACCACCAGAAAAAAAAAAAACTTGACAACAAATACAATTTTAAAACCCCCAAAGTGTATAGTAGTATTAAACAGAGACAAATATGTCCTTCACTTGCACTTTTCCTTCCTTATTCGAACAGGGGCAAACCTAAAGGAACTTGGTGTCATCCAGCAGATAGCTGTGAGCACAGAGACTCCCACAGCAGAAAACGAGGGCCAGGGACACGGTTGCCCAGCTTCTGGTGTTCTTCAAGGTGAAATACTGCAGTAGAAAAGTAGAAAACCAATGACTTCCACTGGGATCCTCCCCAAGTAATGGTGGTTGTCACTTCTCCAGATCTTCAAGATAACAGCTATTTGTACAGCTATTCCCCCCTGCCTCCAGCCTGGAGCTCCTGACAGGTTAGCCACAAGGCACACTGCAGTTATTTCCAACTAAAGTTTCTCCAGCCAGAATTTTCCATGACCCTTTTTCATCTGTACTCAGCAAATCACTGGAGAATCAATAGCGGCCACAGTGCAGTCTCTTAGCTGGCAAATCAACCTCCAAATTCAGCAGTGAGGGGATAAGCCAAAGGCAGGAATAAACCTGCACAGCTGAGCCTGTGCTCTCTGATACCATGGGGGAGCAGCTGAGTCAGGGAGCGGCCCCCCCAGAGTCACGGACTCCAGTCACATCAGGATTGTATTATTTATTGTTGCTGAAAAAGAATGAAAGCAGAGCACCGAGGAGTGCTAAAATAATTAAAACAGTGACATTGCTGGACCAATTTCCTTTGCTCCTCTCAGGCCTAGAGCCACAGGCTTACGATTCTCCTGTGGGTTCCTACAATTTAAACTGGAGCAGGCTGTGGCAGTGGTTAAAGAAGCCAAGGAGCTAAAGATTAAGCAGGTGGGACTCTTTTCCTTGAGCCAATTCTGACGATACAATAGAAGGGAGACAATAACACTGAACAAGATAGAAAACTAAGGTCCTAAATCATCCAGCCAAGAGACAGTTACAGGATAAGTAGCTGCAGTTCTCAGAGAAGTCTGGACTAAATCTGGGAGAGCTATGCAAGATGATGTGAACTGGCAAAGAAACAACTGGATGTACATTCTCCTTGATTCAAAGTACAAAAAGAATAATTTACAGGCAAAAAAAAAAAAAAAAAAAAGAGCAAGAGATGGCATAAGGAGGACTGCACCAGCTACAAGAAATCAAACAAACGCAGTTCACCATCCTGTTTGTGTTACACGTTCTCTCTTGTTTAAAAAGTTCTTTCTGCCAGGTTCTCCCCTTCAGACCTTTTGGCACTGGGACGAGCATAATCAGCCCCAGGTCCGTAACTTTCTTACAGCCCACCTTCCTCTCCCCTCCTCTCTCAGCCTATAATTTCAGACAGTTCTTATTTCATCACCAAGTTTGGTTCTCAGGCAATAAAAATGAATCAGCAGCATGTTACAATTAGTGGTGAAGTTCATATGCAACCGTACCTGCCTCTAAACCTACAGGAATATAAAACTGGGCATTGCCAGGCAGGGGCTGAAACCAGGTGCAGCCAAAAAAGTTAAGATTGGGGGACATAAAAGGAAACAAGACTTGCTCTTTGGCATCATAAGCAATGTGTAATGATGGTAAGTTCACAGAGCATTTTGCACAATGTGGCAGTGAGAATGAAGTCAGGAGTTGGAGGAAGATGGGATGAAATCAGAAATACTCAGGGCTCAGGGAAATCAGAGCAGGGGGTCAAGTACCTGATAGTGAGAGTTTTAGGCAACAAAAGATGTGTGGGCTGGAGTGAAGGCATTGAGAGGGAACAAATCCTGAAATGGAACTTTCAATAGCCTAAGACCATTTCAATAGCCCTGGTTCACCTATTGTCTGTTTCCTCCAACCCTTACAGAAGTTCATTCTGCCCCACCAACTGAAGCGAAGTCTCTGGGGCAAGAACAAAACTCATCTGTGCCACTATATTCAATCAGAGTGAATGTTAAGTCCCAAATAAACACAATGGTAATTTCTGCTTAAAAGTAATTATTTACATTGCATTCTTATCATGTTATCAAAGAGTATTTATCAGCTCGAGCAAGCCATTTATCCACTGGCTTCTTGTCTGGACACAAAATGCATTTTGCTAGCTTGGGTTGGGCTAAGGGCTAGCACTCAGCTGTAGGGATCCAGCTGAGCAGAAATGCTCCAAGAATGAATCCAGACTGAGCTTCCTATCCCAACCAAACTGACTGCACATAACAGAAAGTCAATATGTTTATTTACAATTAGCAAAATGTAACAAATGCAAAGTGTAAAATCAGTCAACCTTGTGGTGCTTACCCAGTTCCCGCTCAAATTACTGAGACCTTTGTCATTGTCTTACATGGGAGAAGAACTGACAGAATAGAGGTGGAGCCAGACATGTCCTGCATGTACGTTTATTTAAGCAGTTCTGGTTTCTTAAGAAAGCAGCTTTGTGTGTATATTCTTGTCCCTTGCAATGAGGTCAAAGTTATACGATCTGCCCAGTGAAGTTTGAACTGGAGAGGTAAAGCCAGAAGGAGAAAGTGCTCTCAGGTCTCAGAGGGAGTGACAACACTTTGTAAAACCTTGTAATCATTGACTTAGTGTTTGCTGTTGCAGCTGAAGGTTTAAAGGTGATGGTCAGTAGTAAAAAAATCAGAGGACACAAGTTTATAAAGAGACATGGCTCCATTACAAAAGTCTGCTATTTCACGCAGGTCCCAGCCCCTCCATACTGACTTACCACTCTGATCTGCTGCCCTGGTTTTCTAGGCAGAATGGTTTTACTTGTTTCAGTGCTCTTCGGCATACAGGCGCTTTGCTCCTGGGCTGCCTCTCCTCCTGCCAGAGGAGCACTGACTGCATTGCTTTCCCCTGCCTGCAATGACACTGCAGTAGAGGAGGCTGCAGACCTGGCTCTTCGCCAGATCAACGCTGACCGAAAAGAGGGCTACGTACTCCGCCTGTACCGAATCTTCAATGTCCGAGAACATCCTCAGGTAAGTTACTTGCTTGTTCTGTATGTTTCTCCCATGAAGAGCTCTGTGTCTATCACTATTCCGTAGCAATATCTATTTGAACTAAGAAATATTTCAAAAGGCAAATGTAAAGTCACATTCACAGGACTCCAGAGGCCATGTCAACTTTACGCACAGATGACTAGAAACAGTTTCATCACCACTGTGGGCAATTAGAGAGCAAAGCTCAGGCACGATTCTCTGCTGCCTGCCCCTGGAATAGCTCCAGGCATCAGTTCAAATTTGGTATGAAACACCACTGCTCTGATTTAATTTCATCTTACACCTTCCTCCCACTGCCTTGAGCAGTTGGAGTGCAAAGGCTATTAAGTCATCGTGCATTTTGCACAAAGGATGTAAGCGCTAACAGGTGTAAACACATCCAGCCTGGGACCATGAAATTCCTCCACAGACCTCCAAATGATGACTCATTCTCCAGAAGAAATCTAAAACCAGTTCAAGCACAAAAATTGCACTGGAAATACATATGCAATATCACTCTCATATCCTCAAGTATCTTATTTCTCTCTGTGTGCTTTATTTATTACTATTTCGTGTTACAATAGCTGAATGTACTGACACTAGCCAGGCACAAGCTGAAATGAGCACACAAAGCCCACAGCACATAGGGTACCGTGGAAGCACACCACTAACATTCCTGCCATGCTTGCTCACTTCCCATAATCTCACCTGAAAGGCTGCGTTCTGAACCCTTACAGAAAACCAGGCTCATCGCCAGATGTTTGAAGATCTGTACTGGCAAGGACATGACACTACCTCCTGCTGCTCTCCCGAGGACACAGTTTCCGCAGACAGGCTGTGGCCTCCAGCAGTCTGAGATCTCCTGACTGAAGATGCACACTTTGCTGTGCTTTGCACTGTGCTCTCTATTTTGCTTTGCTCAGGTGACAGAACGTGCCCACTAAGCAACTGGATCAGGTCTCTTGAGAATTTTTTCCACGTGGGATGCCTCTGAGCTGGCCCAGAACCCACATCACCAGCCATGGGTTTAGGTACTCAGCCCCACATCCTAGGGCTATTTTCTACTGACAATAGGGGCAGCATGGTGGGGGCAGACGTGCTGTACACCCCTTCATTCATCTCCCTGCTTTCCCTTCACCTGTGCCAAGTATATCTCAGCACAGGAGAATTTTGTTCTGTGTTTTTGATTTGGTCTGTCACTTAATTCCCTAGGGACTTAACTTACTGCCTTTAGGGCATGCTTTGCTCTTTGTTCATTTGGGAGTTTAATTTACTTTTATTCTTATTTTTTGCATCTAATATGTTTATCCCATAATTAAGGTGTTTCAAGACACTGCAACAACATGCTGGACAATCCAAGCCCTTCATCACATTTTTGCAGCTGCTGCAACTGGGTACACAAGAAGCAGTCAGCTACACCAGGGATAGTCATGGACAGTAAATACCTTACGCAACCTTCTATTCCTCTCAAAAAAAAAAATCCCTTTTTTTTATCAGTCAGTGGTACTTCTTCCCATTTTTTTTTAATCAATACTCAGGATAAAAACATTTTCAAAGTTGCCTCAAGCTCAAATCCGCCCTTAAGCAACCTGTGGTTGAGTTTTGCTCTAATTGAAACTAATGAGCCATCTGCTATTAACTTACATGCAAGTAGGACAGAGCCTTTCTTTCATCCAAGATACTCATGATTAACTTCACTGACAGGCATGCATTCAAAATTACAAAATATGCCAAAATATTTAATTTCTTTCCCTTGCACCAGGTCACCCTGCCATGGACATGATGCTGCACTGCTGTCGCATCTCTTCTGGCCCCCAGGCTCCTGAGCATGCATTGCAGCGGCAATCCGAGCAGCAGCAGCGCTGAGGAAGGGATCTTTTTGGCAATGCAGAACAGATAGAAGTTTTCATTCAATACTAAGCAGATATCAAAAGGCCTTTGCATAATGGTCTTGTAATGAAAATTAAAATAAGGATGATGAAACCTTCTGAGATCTGCTGAGCTCTGAATAAACCCCAAATTATCCTTTCCCCAGTGGAGGATGATACATACAGAAGCAGGCAGACAAAAAGATGTGTAGATTTTATAATAACCTCATCTGTGTATTAGAGCTGATATTATACAGGAGAGCTATAGGCAACAGGAAATACTGTTTGGTCCACCCTGGTTGCATTTAGTATTTCCAAGATCACCAAGCTTTACAATCAGTCTTCATGATTCAGCTGAGTAAACCCACCTAACATCAAACACATTTGATAATAAGAACAACTCTTTAATGAGATATGTGTGTGCTTTTGCCTCCAGAATACCTGAACAACCAACTTGAAAGCTCAAGTCACCAGTCCCAACTTTTTTCTTGGCTACTACTTCTTCATGTAGGATAGTCTTAGTGATTTTTTTTTTTCTCATAGAGGATATATTTAAACACTGCACTACCCAAAGCCCATGTTTTCAGCAAATAGCAATTACTCTTTGACCAGTCTTACACTCTGTGTACTATTTAACCTACACTAGCAATCATACAAGGAGACATATCATCATGGTATTTAGGTACCTTGCACATAAACAGCAAATTACGATTAGTTCCTTCCACAAAAGGATCTGTGCAGCCAGGTGAGGGATACCGGCATGCCACTCTACACAGTGCTGCTGCACCTCAGCTTCACTCCCTGTCAAAATAGCTTCTGATCTTTTCATGACCTTCAAAACGACACTTATAATTAAACCGCAGGATTAGTGTAGGCAAACCCCGGGGGCTCAGTGCACGGCATTACCAGATTACTTCTTAGAACACTTAGGGAAAAAAGAGGATATGAAAATACAAAAAATGGTACAAAGCAGGGTAAGCTGCATATGTAAGAATATAATTTAGAGAGAAAGCTAAAACAATTTACCTGCTCTTTATATTTATTTTCCTTTTATTTTGCTATATTATATTTATAGGGTTTAGTATTATATTTACAAATATATGCGGTAGAGCTCACATAAAATCACCATCCCAGTCTCTTTCCAGGGATCTTTATACTGCGTGACCAGAATAGTTTGTATCACTCAGTATCCTCAGAACTCAAGAAGAGATACCTCTTAGTGTTTTTCCAAGCAGTATAAAAACAAAAAAGCCAGCAGTACTCCAGCCTTTAGATGCCCTGTTGACCGATCTGTAGTCACTGTTAAATAGAAACCAAAACTGAAGCCAAAACTGTGCAGATACTGGCCCCAGACCTACAAGACTCTTGCCCCGAAAAGTGTTTTCTCCATAAACCAGTGAAATCAACTAGGAATGAATGAATACTGCTCTCATTCAGTTTTGTTTTTTCTCTCTCTTCAACAAAGACATCATCTCAGTCTAAACATGCAGCTAATACTCACATCTCAGTTCTTTAGGATGTATGACAGCTGCTCTCTTTCTAGCTTTCCACTACAGAAAATAAAAATACAATTCTACTAAGCTGTATCCCTGATAAATACCCTGGAAAGGTGCTTATCCATGTCTACAGTGGAAGCAGAACCAGAAGCTGCACCATGCAGCATCTCATCTTTCCATACCATGGGATGTAATCCCTATATATATGGAGCTGTACTTCTAGTCTTTCCCCATCCCTCTCACATGGAAACATATTTGCCCAAAAGTTGAGCCCTAACTGCTTTGTGCACCTGTGCTGCAGTGAACCGAATAAACATTTCTGGACTTGAGCACAGGCTCAGAACTCAAGCACTGAACTAAAGCTTTAAGTGAGTCAGAGACACCCATGTACATATGCAAGGTCTCTCAGAGCACTTCCTGACATCTGAGAGCATATTTCAGTTGTCTGCACCAATGCAGTCATTGCTTCTTAATGGCAAGTGCAAAGCATCCATATTTGAAGAAGACGCTACTCTAAGAAATAAGATATTTCTGCTTCTAATGCCTGCTGGGAATGTTCCATGTTAGCAGTTTTTACTATTTGTGATATTTATCGTCTCACTCTTATTGAAGGCAAAACAACCTACTTTTCAAATCTAATCATACAATGCAGTTGACAATGAAAACACCACCATGTTTAGTCCTTAGTCTTGGGTTCTGGTTGGTACCAGAATCAGAAGGATAAAACTGACTCTAAAAGGCTGTTCTTTAATTACAGCTGGCTAGATGCATGACCCAGCCTGTTGTAACAGGGGCTGAATCTCACCCGATTTGCAGCCCTTGAGAATTCATCCCACAGAATGTTCAGTTTTCAGGACACCTACATGTCCCACCTGCGTGTTTTGTGTTTCTCTGTCTCTCCCTTTCATGTGTCCCTACTTTATTCTGTACCAAACTGGAATATGACCCTTTCTTCTTTGTTTTCAGGAGATCACTGGTTCTGTCTTCTATCTCATCTTGGATGTAGCAGATACTGAATGCCATGTACTGAGCAAAAAGTTGTGGAAGAACTGTACAGCCAGACTTGGTCATACAGCTGTAAGGATTTTATTTTCTTATTTAATCTCAGGTATGATGAGTCACTCAGGTACTACTGATGACAGCAAAATGCACTTTTAGGAGGCAGTAGAGCTTAGAAGAAATCAAACCTCATTTTTTTAAGGTACACAGTCTTCCTCTGTACTTTCTAATCATTTTCTAGACTGGTAAGATTTTTTTTTTTAATTGAAAATTAAAATAAAGTTTTTGAGCAGAGAATAAGCAGACATAACTAAATAGCCATGCTAGGACACTATTTACAGTACATGGTTTACTTTTTATAGCAACTCTGTAAGAGTTTATTTTAAAGACAGCCTGTCAAGAAGGGAATAAAAGAAACTTGCTTTTATGTAACATGTGATTTTTGGTTTAGTTTAATTCCACTTTTATTCTGACAACTTTGCAAAAATTGCACTGGAAGAAGAGAAAAAAGAAAGCTCAGCAAGATAAGCTGTAAAGACAGAAAGTGATATAAGCCTGCTGCTACAGGTGACCAAAATTATTCTGAACAAGTGAAAAAAACCCTTCTAAAATGAAGAATTATGAGAAAGAAGCTTCACGTGAAAAAAAAAAAAAAGTTATGATTAAATTGTCCAGGGCTGCTTCTTAGGTCAATCAGTTTTCATTTTTAAATTAAAAACTGGAAAAAATGAAAATGTTTCTGCTCACTTTGGCTTACAGCACTTTCAGGAGGAAAAGGGTGGAAAGAATGTATGGCCAATATGGCTTCTGTGAAGTCACGAAATGTATGTCCTAGAGACCTTGGTCATACATGTGGCAATATTTAAGAAGCGCTCAGAGAATACACATTCATCTTTTAAACATAAAGACACAATGGATATTAATAGGCCATTATTTTCTTCTGCCATAAAATCAGAGTTTCTTTGTGTGTAAGGGTGATCTTACTGTGCCACAAAACTCACTTACAGTCTTTCCTACAACTCTGCCTCCTTACCATGGCCATAGGGAGAAGGGGAAGGTGGAAGACAGGTGACTGGCTCCAGACAGTGAGCTGATCAGCAGATCTAAGCTCTCCAGGTTCTAGACATAGACCCAGCCCCCGGCGTGGGGGCCTGGCCAGGGAAAGCGCTCTGTGGCACTTGAGCACTTCTGAGCTCCCAGAAGAGTGGCCTTGTGTCGGCCATCCTGCAGACGAGCACCGCACCTGTAGAGCTCAGAACTGCACCAGGGGAAGATCTGGCCTTTTAGTTCCAAAGGTACTTAGAAACGTGCTTCACTGCCATTTGAGTATTGACATAACTTTTTTCTTGAAAATAATTTAATGGCTGCAAGGAGAAAATCAACCACTCACTGTCTAGGTACCAGATGATCAGTGCAAAGAGTGCAGTATTGTTTCTAAATGTTTATGTTGTTTTAGGTTTATGGTCAATGCAAAGCAATTATCTACATTAATCAGGCTAGAAATATTGCTCATCTGAATACTTATGAGTGCATTTTACAACCAGGTATGTCTTTATTTAATACACTCACTTTATTGCTTTAAATTTTAATTACGGCACCACAGTGTTTCCATTAGCTTTCAGCTGCCCTTATCTTCTCAAGTCAGTGATCATAAGGCCAGTGTGGTCCTGCAGTAATAACTGTTTTCATCTCTGGGAAACCCAGCAGAGCCTCTGTATGCGCTTCTACCCTCTGGTTCCAAAAGAAGTTTTATAGGTTTGGAAAGGCAAGTAAAACCAGCAAGTCCCCTGTCAGCAGGTTGAGCTTTTTCTGCAGGGTCTCTGCCTCAACTGCAATGTTTTTATGGGTCTGCAAATTCATAAAGATTCAAAATTGTTGAGTAAATCAAACCACATATTGTTACTCCAGGGAACTGGAGGACAAGTGGGGAGGGTTGGGGGCACAAATGCATTTACAATGACCTACACCTTTAACATGCTCTTATGGTCATGCTTTCTCTAACGACATCTTTTTGTTTGAATAAAAAGTTCCACCCAGATATATATGGACTGTATGTCCTGACTGCCCAGTTGATGATTGTCCAACTGAGCCCAAATATTTGGAGGCTGCTGTTCAAAGCCTTGCCAAGTTCAATGAAAAGAGTGAACAAACTCGTTATTTCTCTGTCCTCAATGTCACAAGAGCTTCAATGCAGGTAAGCCAAGGCTCATCTGACTTGCTTTAGCCCTCAAGAAGTATGGATCCACCTGTTATACTCTATACGATTTGTTACGTCTCACAGACTGTTCAGAATTTCTATCTGTATAGTATAGAGAATACTTCTACGCAGAATTCTCCTGGGAAACTAGGGTCTGCATTGATCCAAGACTTTGACTCCATTTATTGCAAAAAGAAGGGCTTTATGCAAAACTCAAGACGCACATTTGCATTCCAAAGTTTATGAGAGTTTCACAGTGAGCTCTTTCTTCTACCACCACCATGAATTAGTGACTCCCTAACAGAAATTTTTTAATAAAGCACAGTCACCCCTTCCAACACATACTCTAATTCACTGAATGGTTTAAAACTAATTTTAGACTAACAGAGAGTTAATGATCTTGTGGCTAAATCCCATTTGTTTACCACAGTAATATCCAGTCTCTCTAAAATTCATAATATATAGATAACAAGTTGGTTTTCACTCTTTGTCTCAAGCTGTTAGATATTACTGTAATACAGTATTTGATCAATCCCATTTTCCAGCCCTGAGGTTCTTGCATTTCAGAAACAGAAAAAGTGATCCTGTTCATTGAAGCAGCAAGAAATGATCAACAAGGCACTGAAGAGGGTCTTTGGATACATAGTTCTATGTGAATGCTAACTTATTACAAAAACCAAACTAATTTCAGCTATAGCTAATCCATGAGTCACTGGGATATTAGAAGTGAAAAATTACCAGGCAATTAAGCATCACTGGCAAAAAAATCATCCTTCTGTAATACATCTAACAGTAATGCCCCAAGTATAACCTGCTCCTTCCACGCTTAACAGGAGTTTTACATCTATTTCAAGGTCTGTAGGGTTCTTCCTTCTTCCTGACACATGCACAAGGTCTAATTGCCGCTGGTCTCTCATTGACAGTGGGTTGTTGGTCCTGCATATTTTGTAGAGTTTTTAATTCAGGAGACATCCTGCTCCAAAAATGACACGATTGCCGACTTCTCCAAGTGCAAGCCACTTTCATCGGAACTAGCTGTAAGTACTTTTCCTTGTATAAACACTTATTTTTCAGATACTGTGATTTCTCAGTGAATACTTAGCCTATCCCTTTGGTTCTTTGCAGAAAAGAATCAAAGCCCACAGGCATCTTTTATGCGTTGTAGCTCTATACTGTCTCGTAACTGTAGAAAACACTTTAGAATAGAGAAAACACTTCAGTAGAAGTTCTGAATTCTTACCTAGAAGTCCATGAACAAAGAAAACAGAAAAAAATACCATCCAGAAAAAGGTGGGGTAACCATGGCCTTACAAAATGAATCATTTCTAAGTATTTCTTCCAAGTAAACAGACATAGCCAATAAATCACAAACAATGCATAACGAGTATATTCACACTACAATGAGGTCAGCTAAGGAAAACATTTAGAAACTAAGGGAAAAAATTATACAAGAAACTGAAAGACTAAATGGGCATGCTGCCAATGTGACCTACAGTCCAGTAAAAACACAACTATTAGAAACAACATTTTTTTCATGGTTTCTTTCACTAGTATGGTGTGAAAATGTTTTTGCCTGAAAAATGGTATTACGTTCTATCACACAGCTTGCTGCACGGGGATATTCTGCTGCAGCAGAACTTAAGTGTGCTGTTGTAGTTCGGCCTTAAGTAGCCAGCTTATTTTTACTATTGTGTTACCTAACCCTCCTTTGCAAGCATAAAGCCTTTTTCAAAATGCTGCCTGCCTTTGTACGCTTGCCAATCCCAAAATAAAAGTTTGTCCAAGCCGCTTATCCCTACAAATACATGTAGGAGCTATAACTATTCAGCCTTTCATAATCACTTACTTTACAAGATAGGAGCTAAGTATCAGTGCCACAATATGAAAAAACTGCTTGTATTTTCTTCTTCCAGCACATAGGTTTCTGCAAAGGCTCTGTAGTAAACAGTGAGCTGGAACATAAACAGCTTGTCACAGTATCCTGTGAAATCTACAGTCTGCAGGTACGTCTTAATCTGTTCTTAATATTGCAAGAGTAATACTCCTTTACAAAACAAGAATTGAACTCTTGAAAGCCCAGCCATTTTTTTTTCTTATTCACGAAGATATGGGCTTCAAGAAAGTGCTAAGGCCAAACTGGGAAGAAATCTCGCTTGTGATAAAACAGACCATTGCTAGGTGGATAAAAAGCAGTAGAATAAGAATAGAGTCAATAATACAGAATGTATTCAGGATGCTCTGCAAATAAATTGTAAATAACAATTTGCAAAGAGCAAAAACCATGTAATTACCCGAGTTGCATGCACCCATCTCCACGGGCATAAGTAGTTCCATCTGTCTATCCTTTGAGCTTCTACTCTGCAGCTGGTCTTTGCAGACTGGAAATGCAGCAGATCCTCAGTGTGAAGGGAGACCGTCTTCATATCTGAAAGAATTTGGAACAGCTTCAATGTAGGTAATGCTTATTGCCTGTTATTTAGGATCCTGCCACTGAAGAAGGAAAGCAGCAAGCTAATCAGACACCTGGAAAATCCAGCCAGAATCATCTACATCTAGAAAAAACAGTGGGCTGGGTTAAAATTCTACCCCCTTCAACTGAGGACATCGAAATGAAAAGTCAAAGTGAACATAAAGACGGAAAGCCAGTTCCACCTGAGGCTGTAGGATCTACACCCACTCTTGATGGAGAAAAGACTCAAGCAGATAAACCAGACTTGACCAAGCCAGTCACTGCACCAGTTATTCTCCATTTTCCTGAAGAACTTTCTCTATCAGACTCATGCCCAGGAGAAGAAAAGGAGATAAATTCCATCCTCCAGCCTTTGCTGCCTAAAAAGCCTGCCAAAGTCTAGGCAGCATCCAACCACCTCAACTACCAGCAACAAAATAACAGCCATGATGGCAACGTGGTCTTTCAATTTATGTAACATCTTTAAATAAATAAATTGCTTATTACAGTCTTAATCCTTGGAGTTCTCAGTTTGAAGAAAGCACAAGAATATAATAGAAAAAGAAATTTAACTAGGGTGTTCTCCAACAAAATAATTTGACTTTTAATTCTCAGCTTCCTCCCATCAGTAAGAGCATGAAGGAAAGGTAACTGCGGGAGGTAAGAGAACTTGCAGGGCTGAGACAGCCCAAAGGCATCAGAAAAATATATCCTCAGTAGCAAAAGTCTGTCAAGGCACAGTACAGGATGGCTGCTCCGCAGGGGATGGTGAGATGGAGCCGAGTGTGACAACCAGGCAGGGGCCCGTACCACGGTACCTGAGCAGGGCGAGCCGGGCGGCGCCGGGTGGCAGTCAGGTTCTGGGAGAAGGCCAGATCACCACAGAGGTTGGTGGGTGATGAGGCAGGGCTGAGGCCAGGCCAGGAAGACAGGCTGCAGGTCTGAGTTGGGGTCTGGATCAGCAAGGTCCATGGCCAGGCACAGGCACAGCTGCGATGCCGCAGGACCTGCAGCAGGGGCCAAAACGCTCCAGTCTCAGCTTAAAGCAGCTCCCGTGGGAGGAGCCGGGTTGGTCCTGGCTGTGGCTTCCCTCTCCCCAGGGTCACCAAGGGGAAGGGGACAGCCCCAGCGGTGTGGCTGCTGAGCTGGCCTTGAGCCCCAGCCAAGCCTCCAGGAGGGAGGATGCTCTTGGGGCCCTTCCAGAGTCACACCTGATGTGATGGTGTATGAACAGGGAAGAGGACTTCAACACTCTTTGGCATTAAAACCTAACGGGTTTTTATTATTTTATGGGTTAACTCCTTAATTATAATGTGATGAGCTTAGCCTACTTTTTCATCTCCTGTGGAAGATCTCAAGAAAGATTATTTTTTTCCTAATGCTTTATACCCTCACTTAAAGAAACTGGCAAAGGCTACCCATGTGTGAAACCTCTGACATTAATTCTGGCTGGTGGAGAGCCAAGCTCAGGCTATTCAGATTCTTATGCTTTACTGATGCTGCTGTGCAGGAAAAATGATGATTTACAAAATCAGCCTAATTCTTTCTTGAGATAGGTCATATTATCTGCCTTATAATAAAAACCACAGGGACACTCTACAGGCTGCAGCTAAGAAAAATCAATTTCACTAAAGCCAGACATAGCAACTGTAAAACAATAACAAATACAAATAAATGAGAAGACAACAGGAAGAAAAAAAGAGAACATGGGAAAGAAATGACATCTGTGGCCAGGAGTGCACTGATATTCACAATAACTGTGGGGCTTGTATGACACCACAGAGCCTTTCTCTAATTGCCACCAGATCTGTAAAATCATTTGTTCAAAAAAAAAAATCAATAAAATATTATTGTTTCTGTAGCTTTTATGCCGCTGAATCATCCATAGAGATGCTGTGAAATGTCTTCATTCTGAGTCTTTCAACAAAAAATTATGGTTTTGCTACAGTATTCTGGTATTATGTCGTTAGATTAAAACATATTATTGTATTATTATAAAT